CATCAAGAACAGGGGTTGGCAACCCAAACTGCTCAAAGAGCCTAATTAGGCCCAAAAAACTCATCTGTCTAGAGCAGCAAAAATGTTTGTCTTATATAAGCCTTTTATGGCAACACTGGCTCTAAGCGTATAAGCCTGCAATAACAAAAGGACTATGCGGGCTTGTATATATAAAAAGCATTAATGATTAAATGTTAATCTTTGATCAAATGTCACATCATGTGACTTATCTGCTGTACGATATTCGATGCTTGAAGTTTAAATTCCATGATTGCACGAGGCGAGGGAGGAGCAGTGAGCGCTGTCACCGCGTTTAGTTCACCGCCGTTTGTATGTATTAAGTTTTGTTGCATCTGATTTGTGGTGTTATATTTATTTTGAGGATTTAGGGAAAAAATGGAAGAAAATTCACATCCCTACATCAGAGCGCTACCTGTTCGATCTGTGGACTGTTTTTTAATGTGTGCAACAAAACTAGCAGCAGCAGTGGAGTTTGGAGATGCAATCTACTCCTTAAATCTGTCTTTGCTCTCTTCTAATTTATCAAGGACTTCTGCAATCGCACTTTTTCTCTCACTCCCAACTTGGTGGTCGGCTGTATATTTATCATACCTAAATATGCTTTTCCAAATTATGCTTTTTATTACTTGACAACTTCTCATTACAAAGCAAACATGCAGGCAATCCTTCCGCATTAATAATGAAAGCCAATGATTCGCTCCATTCTTCTTTGAATCCTCTGTTCTGATCAGCTATCTTCCTTTTTTTCCCTTTGGGATCAATGGTCCGACGTACACCCGCCGCCACCTGTCTGGCACCGCGCCGCGCTGAAACGTGTGAAGCAAATCTTTATTGACAGAAATGTTTACATTTATTGCTTAAATGTATTTATTATACACATTCTTACAGCATTGGAAAAGATAATGAATGTTTGTTTGACCTCCATTTTCATAATTTTTTAAAAAGCTCCAAGGAGCTGCAAGGGGGGCATTAAAGAGAGAACTACAGACTATTAACTTGAAAAATACACGTCAAATCCTAAAATTTAAAATTGTTCAGTAGAATACTGGAAAACCTTTCATTAATATACTACTATTAAAGCTGCGATCAGAGGAGGACATGATTGGTTTGAAAAATACCAAAATAAAGATTTAAAATTCAAACATTAGATTATTGACAAAAAATCCAGCAGCTGCTTCCTCTGGAGAACTTGAACCCATCACATGGTTCCCTTGATGGAGAACTTGAACCAGTTTCATATTGGATCACCATGACTAGGCATTGAATCGTTGTGGACTTCTGTCCTGTTCCTACGGCAACAGTGAACTTAAAATAATCTGATAACTCATTATTATGCATTAATCAGAATGTTAAAACTTGGATACTGAAAGGCTGTTAGGTTTTAGATTTACACTCTGTTCACAATGAATGTGTTTTAAAAATCAAAATGGCATCAAGTGCTGTGAATTGGAGGTTTCAACAGGGGGTCCGCGACCCCTTGGGGGTCTGTGGAGGTACTGCATGGGGGTCGCAGAAGTTTTGGTTGATCAGACTTTTTTGTAAAGTCAGTCATCAATGCACACATTCAGCGACACACAGGAGCTCTTTCAAACTGGGCACCGTTTCATTCAAAACACCTGTCCCATCAACCAGGAATCAGAAATACTTTAATAATCCCAGGGAGAAATTACTTTAGTTACATTACTCCATATGTAACAGAGTGACTATAGGACCAGTTTGATTTAACACAATTTCATGCAGTATATGTAATTGGGGGTCTGTGGGCCTGGAAAACATTGAAGACCCCTGCTGTGGATAATGGAAGCTTGTTGCTGGGCGCTCCAGTGGTTGAGTTGATGTTCTTTTCCTTTCTAATCCAGAGAGCGGCTTAGTTTAATTTGCTTTGATGAGCTCCTGAGCGAGAAAGTCCACCGTTATCAGCCAAAAAACAACTCTTTCTGATCGGCTGTGCAGGCTGGTCATGAAGTTGGGCTTTGCTTTGTACCGTGTTGGCTGTTTTATTTTTCATTTTTTATTATTATTTTTTCATTTTGTTATTCAATCTGACCCAGCCAAATGTTGGGATAATGTTTCAGTTGATGAGGCAGAAAAAAGGTAAAAATCGGCACAGATCGGGATCTGCTCAGCCTGTAATGAAAAAGCCTCTATGCACTGCAGTCAGTGTGATGGAAAAATATTGCATCACATATATTTTCAATCCAATATTGGATTGAAAAAGTCTGATGCCACCGGGTTTACCTGGACTGCATTCTGACTGCTCTGCAGGAGCAGAGATCACGGCTTTCATGTAGTGTATGCCTCCTTGGCAGCTCCTAGATCAGCTTCTCTGATTGGTTGAAGTTTTGCCTCCAGCTGCAAAGAGTAGAGATTTTCCAGCTTTAGCGCTGGACACTCTCGAGGTGCTAAACTCAATTTAAGCCAAAGTCAGTTGAATCCTGCCAAGGTGCGTCCACCTTTGTCTTTGCGTTCACACCTGATGCCCTTGATGTTTGGGGTGAAGAAGCATCAGGTGTAAATCCTCCACTGGAAACATTGAATCAGAAAATCACCTCCCTCAGACAAAATAGAGAAGAAACTTTCAGGCACAATGCAGAAAGTTTTCAGTCAAATGGACAAATAAAAAAAACCTGAATATTTAAAGGATTGAAAGCAGTTTGGCATTAATACAGAAAGTCCAATCAAAATCTCACACCAACGCTGCTTATATCAAATAATGTGAAGCAAACATTTAGAAAAATGCAGGCTCCATTTAATCAACCTTCACAAATGATTAAATCCAAGCTGCCTGAGAGCCTGATTGATTGGACCCTCGCCCTGCCTGAGAGCCCCTCTGATTGGTTGGTTCAGACGGAGCAGCGAACCACTGCAGATTACAGGGAGGAAGAGCAGGATTCTTATTTTCACAGATTATCAGCTTCATGTCAGGACACGTATATTAAAACTAGGGCCTACACTATAAAACATTAACTTTGATTATTTAATTCAATGAATGTTCTATTCACTTTATTTATATAGTGTTAATTCACAGCACATGATCTAAAATAACAATACAGAGATAATTCAACCAGAATATACCGTCAGATTGGTTCTAAGTTTTCTATCTAAGGGAAACCAGCTGTTTGCATCCACTCATGCAGTCCCTCTCTCCAAGCATGCTTGTAGCGACAGTGGAGAGGAAAACTCCCTTTGAGGGAGAAACCTCCAGCAGAACCAGGTTCAGTGTGAGCGGCCATCTGCTGAGGCCGACTGGGGTTCCAGGAGACAGAAGCAGAGATACAGAGTAGAGATACAGATGCTTCGCTTCCCATCCTGGAAGGTTTTTAAATTAAAAGGATTCCTGGATGGGAAGCGAAACGTCTTCACACTTGGAAACGAAGGCATCCCACCTTTAATTAAAACATGTTTAGATATGTCGAGCAGCGGTCTGCTGTCTGGCGGAGCTCTGCGACGCCGTGTTTAGGCCTCAGAAGAGCCGTCAGCTCCATGCTGCCGATTAGCTTGGTGGCGTATAGATATACAATTATAGATCTGTGTGTAAAGGTTTGCTGGGACGATCATAGACTGTTCTGGACGGTGGTTCTGGTGTTCAGAGTCGCAGCTTGGCACTAATGCTTGACCTCTAACCTCTTTTCCAGGAAACGCCCTCTGTCTCCTCCTTCAAAGTCATCTGGGAAAGGCCCCGCTGCGCCGTCCAGCAAGCCGGCCTCCCTTGCCTCGGCCCCGCCGGCTGGTTCTGGTTCCGGTTCCGGCAAAGCAAGCAGCACTCTTTCCCGTCGCGAGGAGCTGCTGAAGCAGCTTAAGGCCGTGGAGGACGCCATCGCCAGGAAGCGAGCAAAGATCCCCACCAAATAAGGAGGGGGCGGAGCTTCTGCTCTGGTTCTCCCAGCTGACCCGCTGGCCTCAGCCCCAGCCTGAGGAACCAAACGTGGACCAGAACTTTAAGGGAGCTGCTCTGCGCATCTCTGTTCCTCTTCATCAGCCTGTTCTCTGGTTTTTCTTCAACGCTCTGCAGCTTTTCCTTCTCAGAAGCTCATCAGATGATTTCCTGTTTGAATAAAGATCAAAAGGATGTGAAGTTTTGTTTTTTTTATAATCTTCCAGAGTGATAAAACAGTTTTCTTTATTTGGTGTCACTTTTAGCTGCAGGTGAAACGGAGATGTGTAGAGATGAACGTTGTCTTGCTTTGTCACAAAAGACTTTAAATAAACTATTTTAATAAACAGAAGCTCTCTGACTGTTTCCTTCCTGGAGGAAGAGGATGAGGAGGAAAGTGTCTAATTGGCCGGCTAGCTCCACTTCTGCTCTCTCATCCAGGCAGTCTTTGGTTCTTCATCCAGCGCCGCCTGCTGCTGCGATGTCACTTCCTGTTTCAGGCCTTTGGCTCCATCAGTGATGGCCTCCCTGAGCAGGAACCATTGAGGACCATTTTTATTTTCCACCAGTTGAACCAAACGGTTGTGATGTTCTGTAGAGTCACTCCATTGATGTGTTTTAGGGCAACGCCTCGCCTAAGACCTGCTTCCTGGTGTGACATCATGGGAAAATTGAGAACAGGAAGAGAAGCGGATCTCTGCAGTTCTGGCTCCTCGATACCTGAAGGCGCCATGTTCATGAGCAGCTGCGCCTCCGTGATGTTCGGCAGAGAAACTACTGGCTTGGTGGGAAAATGTTTCCGCAAAAGCATCCTGGGAAGCGGCTCCTCACCCCCATCATCCACAGAAAAATCACTTTCTGAAGCAACAGAAGCCAGACTCTGACATGCTGAGGAAGGCAGGAAGAAATCCCCGAAGCAATTCCTTATAAACCACAGAACAGGCTTAAAGTTGAAAGGCATGCTGACTTTCACTCAGTAAACTTTCAACTCCTTTCACTGATTGAGTGATGATGTGACTAGATTCATTGCTTAGAAACATTCAGCTGCTTGGTTTCATCTCCACATCTAAACGAAGGTGTTTGTCTCCTTCCGTTCGCTGCTGTAGGACTTCCTTAATCCTGTCATACCAGTTCCCAGTCAGACTAACTATCTAAAATACAGCTCTGCTTTTTATTTAATTTAAATAAAATAAAAGGAGTCCAGATCCGCTCTGTCCAGACTTATTTTATTTCCACCATAAGAGCTCATGAGATGAGCAGTTTTAAATTTATGGCAGCAAGAAGATCTTCTGGTTTTTCTGACACTTAAATTGTTTGCTAACTTTGAGACTCAAAAAAGGAGGCAATCACCATAGCAACCCACCATTTATTTCCTATAATTATCCATCCTAAACCTATCCCTAAATTCCAGATTTTCAAATACATTTAAAATTGTTTGGTTCATATTTCTATTTTTTTCAACATCAGAAATGTAATTTAATAACTGAATTAAAAGCTGAGATAAACAGTTTCTGCTGATCTGATAACCACTTTAAAGATAAAAATCACTTCAAGTAGAATTCAAAGCATAGAGAAGGAAAATTTAGTGGAAGGAAAAGCTGTGAAACTGACAGGGCATCGAAACCACAGGGATAACAGAATCTTTTTAAAGATTGAGAAGGTCCGGTGTGACATTCCACAGCCTATTTTAGTTTCAGGAGTTTCCACATCAGTATCTGGCCCCGCCCACATTCCTAAAAGATCTGTATTCTGGTTAAATGACCATGTTGATGCTGTGTTTTTGTTGGCAGTTGTTCATGCAGACGGAGTCCGAACCAACCGCAAAGTTCGTGTTCCGGATGGTAGGTGGGGGTACATTAAGTTAGCTCGAGTTTCTGCACCAAAGATGCTTTTTTTATTTTACTTCAGAAGGTCAAATGTTGGTTTTCAATACTCATGAAGCATGGAAGCCAACAGGGAAGCATTTCTGAAATATCTGCCATTATGTGGAACAAACTACATGGCTCTGCTTTTAGGATGAAAGCTGGACGGATCCAGATGTTCGACCTCCGCCGGCAGCTTTCTGATCCTCTCTGAAAACCTCAGCAGTTTGTTACCAACAGAGGTCAGCTTATATCAAAATCATTCAAACTTTCTTTTCTTCTCCAAAAACCATTCATGTAAAAATCAGAGTTTTACTGAAGAGTTTGGAGGATTTCCTCAGCGCAGCTTTGCGTTTTTTAGAAGCATAAGGATTGCATCACTAATATAATATACTTCCTGTTTTTCTAGCCAAAGCAGAAGAATGAAGTCATTGTTTACACTGAGGTGATGTCACATGACCCAGCTTTTATGTTTACTTCCCTTTTTCACAGATTGACACTCTTAAGATTTTTGCATTCGGGAAGTAGATCATAGTTTCCCTCTGATATTATGTCATCTTTACGTTTTTTACATAAAAATCTGGACCATCTTATTGTCAGCCATCAGAGAGCAAAGGTCAAGTTCAAACTGACATCTTTCAGTTCCGATGTAAAGACTTGTTTCTAATCATGAAAAGTATTTTGCAGGTTAATTCAGGCCTTTGTCCATCAATCCTGAACGGATCAGGCGGCCCACTGCTGGTTGTCCATCCACATATTATTTGAGAGAACAGAATCCTCTGGTTAAAAGCTCTGAGAATGAAACCAGAACCAGAAAACTGTTCAGAAATCTGAAAAACAGCATTTAGTGGATAATAAAAAAAGCTCCAAATGGTGTCGACTCAGTAAGGTCTGAACTGATGTGTTCTGTAGCAGAGAGATGCCCAGCAGGTTAAACAAGATCCAACCTTTAAAGAAATCCACCTGAAGGTAAAGAGGTTGATAATAAAGACATTAAAATTCCTCCAACCCAACCAGGAGTCCAGCTCCTCTCCGTCCAACTCCGTCTCTGTGCCATTGCTCCTCGCTGCACCTACAGAGGTTGTGTTTCCTGGAGCTGAAGAGGAAATGACCTTGAAACTAAGCAGAGGTTGACGTTAAGGATTTTGACTTTCACATTTCATTTGCCCAGAAACAATTTTTACTTGCCCAGTATAATGTTTGATAAATATAGTTCCTAATATTCATTTTTGTATATATATCAATGAAACATGTTTGTTTTTTAAATGTTTTTTGTAATTCAGTAAGTTTCCAGGTTCCTGGTGTGTATATGCATGCATCAGATAATGAACTCAAGCCTACATTACCGTGTTAACATGCTTTTCAATCCTTCCTGCACATTCTTTTCAAACTAAACTTTGCTTTAAACTGTTGTGTGCTTGGAAAAATATAAATCGTAATGTTAAAAATCTACGAAAAACTCGACAGGTTAAAAACTTAAAATGAATCACAAGACAAAAGTCAATGTCACACTTTTATTTTAGAGTCACGGTATGTTTATACAAGATGATACTATTAATATAATGTGACTTTTCTAGAGAATCATTATAAATAGTTATTTTATGCAGGGTTTCCACAGTCTTACATCATTTCAGAATTCCCTGACTTTTAACTGACTCAGGAATAGTTTTCCCTGACAAAATAAATGAAGCAACAAGACAATAATAACAACATAACAGTTAACCAATTTAACATATTTAGCTCTATAACATTTAAATGCACCTCTCCAATGTCTAAGAGAAAAAAAATTAATGAAAATTTTTAATGTATGACCACTGTACAGAAGATGATATGATAGCGCTTTCTAGCTTGTTTGTCGTATTGGTAACTGCATCGAAATTATCGCTAGGTGGACAAAAATCACTAGCCTGACGTAGTCCTACTCAATTCTAATCAGAATATGAGTCTGATACTGCTCCATAGAGCTGTGATTATGGGGCGTGTTTCAAACGAACCAGGAAAAAAAATGCCTCTGCACTCAATTGGATAGACCTACAACCAATAAGAGCAACGGAGTGCGTGACGTATGTTAAGCGACGCATAGTTGTTGTCAACAAAAATCAAAGCGTGTAGTTTCACGCCTAGAATAAGAAGATTAGACTTGATTGCGTTTCTCTGTTCCTCTTTTAAAATTAATTTGCTGTCGATATCTTCTAGAACAGACCTAATAGCAGAATCTACTCACCCAAACTCTCCAGCGGCAGCCATTATTGTTGTCACCCAAGCGCGCTTTGGTCACGTGGTTGATTACGTTACTCTTGATCATCTGTCCATCATCGTATAAAGCCCGCCCTGACAATTTGATTGGAACGCCTGACAGTGGGCGATAATACTCGCGCTACTATGGAGCAGAGCCAGACCGAACTTCCCCGAACTCAAACCTTGTGGGCGGGACTAAGTTCGGACTGGCACCCAGGCTAAAAAATCACGGCATCTGGCGGAAAATCTCCCGGCTTTTTCAAATCACGTGTACAAAACAACAAAAATGGCGCTGACAACGCTTCTGGGTCGTTTTTACCGAATGTCGGTGATTTTAAAGTAATTTTTTTTTTGCGATCATTGCACTCGCCCGGTGGGTAAATGCAATGAAATTTGTACTCTCCCAACAATAAAGACTACTTGCCCCGGGAGATGGTTAACATCGAGCCCTGCTAAGGATGTGTCCTTGGATGAGGTGCAACAGAGATGAACGACGAGGCTGAGTTCAGTCATCCTGTTCAGCTCAGATCTGTTCTCAGAGTGACAGTCTGTGGGAGTGGGGGTCAAACTCAGAACCTCAGGATTCCAAGCTCTATGCCCTAACCGCTAGGCCGCCACTCCCTTCGGTTCGGTTGTGTCTGGAATGGTCCAGTTTAGTTGTGTTATCTCGGTTACTTGGACCGTTCTCAGCACAGTTTCTATAGGCCAGTGTAAATGGGGTATTAGTGTAGATGTTTGGACCTCTGCCAGATCGTTCCAGACTTAAACGTTTTAAAAACCATCAAGGATCTGAATTGTCTGGTTGACCTCTAGACCTCCATGCTGTTGCATCACCGCGACACGTGGGCAGAACTGAAAGTAAAGCCTGGTCCTAGAGTTTCATGATCTCTATCTCGGATTTGCATGTTTCCTTTCGCTGCAGTTTCAGATCTCCTTTTGGAAACAATCCAGAAACAGTTTTTAAATGCATTATTTTAATTGACAGGGACAACATTAATGAACATTTTTGTACATGTACCTGATTTAGAGTCAACAGCTATTTTTCATCTGCTGCCCCTCGACAGATGTTAACAGTCACCCTAAAAACAAGCCTTAAAGGAATAGTACACCCAAAACATGATTAGCCTTCATTTTCTACTCACCCCCATGCTGAACAACACTCTGGAGTACTTTTTTGATATCTCAAATGCATCTGGAGATCTGGCAGGCTTCTTGCTGTCTGCTGACATTCAAATAATGGAGGTCTATGGCGCCCGAGGCAGAAAGGTCCA